CAAAGGGTCTGGTGTCTGTTTGGCTGTTTTGGTGAGAAGAGACATTTATTTACTGTACATTTAACCTACGTAGCCTAACACTGAATCATATTTGCCCACATCATTAAGAGTTCGAGTGTGCTAAATCACAATTAGAAAGCCTTTCCTTAAATATCCAGATTTACTCTTTCTGCCAGTGCAGCATGTGGTTGTGTAGTAAACACAAAAGAAACTGCTGTGAATGAATGAATGACTGAAATTCATGCACATGTAGGCCCTTAGCGCCCTCTAGTGTGGCAATAAAAAGCAAATGCTGAATGAATACAAATAGGCAAAGATGACATTTAACTTCAACATATTTCTAGGGTTAATAATCTAGTAATGTATGTCTTTTTCTTACTGCAGCTGTCTGGTTGTTTGCGATCCAAGGTCATATCCTTGTTCTGAATGGGATGATACGTGATAATCATGGCTGCGTTACTTCCACATGGGACAATCTGTTTTCAGCTCAGCCTCAGAAGGCTAAAATTAGCCTCTTTTTTACTGTTTTCCATCTGACGTGATCGATGACTCATTCAGGATCTCACTATCCCCCTCCCATCCCCGTCCCCTCTGAGTGGATCACCTTTACTGAAAGAGGCTGGGTTGAAACCATGTCCACAGTTTTATTAAAGAAATAATTAACATCAGATTGCTTGCTCAAGCTCTATATAAGATAGTAAGATCTGTATAGTGCATCTGAGCCAAAGATTTCAATTAAATGCTACTGAAATATACAGATCTTCAACTTGGAGCATGGTGATAAAGGATGTGTGACCTTCAGAACAAAGACGTTTCTCCACTGTGCATATAGAGTTTCAACAGAAAGGATCAAAATGTCTGCAGTTAAGTTGAGTCTAAACATCAATTAAAAAAAGCTGATTTCATTAAATCTATTAAGAAACTGAAAAAAAACACTAAGATCTATGTTATATTAAACATAGAGTAATATATTTCAGAGATTTATGGTAATTTTGCTGATTATATTGTACAGCTAATTCAATTCAATTTTAATTCAGTTTATTTATATAGCGCCAAATTCACAACACATGTCATCTCAAGGCACTTCACAGTTTAACCAGATCATACAGTCCAATTGATACAAAGTTTTCTATCTAAGGAAAACCAGTTGATTGCATTGACTCATTGACTCAAATACAATAATGATACTAATGAAGGTGACGCCTGAAAAAGCTGGATGATCACAGATCTGCATCAAATTATATTACAGGAAAGTTGAGTGGAGGGAAAAGTTTGAAAGCATGGATTTTGGAAGCTTACGTTGATTCTTCAGACAAAAGTGAAATCTGGATTTCATGTGAAAATCCAGTGTTTAGACAAACACTGACTTTAGACAATCAAGATGCTTGATGTCTTAAGCACCACCAAAAACAGTTAAAAACAAAAAACAGGATACCACAAAAAAATAACAAATAACAAAAATAAACATTTTGTCACTCCCTACCCAGAATCAAGATTCACTGGACACCACTGAAAGAAAACCTGAATAATCACTCCTGTTGGAAAAACATGTAGAAACCTTGGTGCATTTTTTTGTCCAACTCCTAACTCCACTACAGTTCAGATCTGTTTGCTAAACATCTTAATATCCCAGTGTGCAACTAGTTGAAGGACAAAAGTAAAACTCCATCAGTTTGCAAAAAAATTCTTAATCTCTTCCAGTTGGTGATTAGATTAATTCACTAATTTGATTCTACATGCTCTAATGGTTAAACGAGGTAAAATTGGACCAATCCAACCTGGAGTTAGACCCCTGCATAAAGCAGTGATGTGCTAAGATCAGTTTGTAGGCGCATGTGCTCAGCATGAATGCTTGCACAGGCAATGTCCATAGTTGGGTTTAGTGTGTCCAAAGCCTTTTGTATGATATTTGTGAAGGTTTCCACTCTGTATAATGTGTTCAAATTTTTTTTTAGCACTAACAATATAATCAGTAGAGCATAAGAGGTTAGGTCCAGTATGAAGTCTCCAGCCAGTGATGATTTATGAAACCATGTCATCTGCTTGTGTTGGTCCAATGATCCCGATATTAGAGATGTCAAAGTCAGATTACTATATGTCCATTTATCGATAAGGATCATTTATTTCCCAGAAGGACCTGCTGACATATTTCCAAAACTGTTGATACGATATGTAGAGGGTATAAATATGCTGTGTGCAGCAAGGTATAATTAAGTGTAAGAGGAGGACAGCAGAGCCAATAATGTTAACGAGCTGAAGACCACATTTATAGCAACCTGGATTTTCTTAACACCTCTTTAGAACAACTACCTTGTTTATTCAAAAACAGCTCCGCAATAAAAATCTTTTTAAGAATTACATTTAAAATGGTCAGATTTTAGATAAATGCACACTACTGCTTTTGGTGTAATTGATTTATGTTACGGCCCCTGGCCTTTTAAGACTGTGCAGGCTTGTTTTGTTATGCAGGTTCAGGTGTGATAGAACACCTTCCTGTTTGGCTATCTGAAGGCTGCAGAGGAGCAGTGACGTCATTGGACCAGCAGAGGCCTGTCAAGCCAATCAGATGTTGATGAAGCCCATCTGCGTCATATAAAAAGCTTTCAATTGGGGGACAGCTAGTAGGAAGAGGTTTTGTTAAGCTGTTCCCCCACCTTTGGTGTTTACAACTGCTTTGGGCAATTTCAACTATTTGCTCTTACTTGTTCTGTAAGTCGGAGGTCTTCAACAGGGGCTCCTCGACCCCTAGGAGGTCCACGGAGGTACTGCTTTGGGGTACAAAAGAGTCTAAGCGCAAACAGAAATGCAAAGAAAAAAAATCTTTCAAGAATTAATTTTTTTTCTTCCATATTCTAAGATGTGGCCAGTAAACTTGATTATATTATTCACATTTAAATAATTCACAATTTAAAATTCTTCATTGACACGTGTTAGGGTTAGAGTTAGTAAAACGCAGTAAAATGCTTTAATTTAAACTTCAATCTGTAAGGTTAAAAGATTAAAGTAACATCCTTAAATTATTGATATTATAGATTCCATTGATTCAATTATTCAATTCAATCAATTATTGATGAATAATTGTGTGAATTTGTTGATGTGGAGTACACCCCAGACAGAGGCAACACATAGACAGACAGGTCAGAAAACCATGCAATTACCATCTCATCTTACATTAATTCAAAATATTACACCCTGGTTATGGCACTTATGGTCTTATGGACTTGAGTCATTCTTTGGATGGCTACATTTTCCTATTACCTGAGTAAAACTAGGATGAAGTAGTAGTAATCTCAATTGAATGCAATTTTTTGGCACTCTACCAACCTCTGAGGGTCTCCTCCATGAGACCCTTCTTGTGCGTCTCTCCAAACAGAAAAAAAAATATCAGAGAATCTGATCACTTCTACTGTAGTTCAAACCTCGTCTCTCTTAAAGGCAAGCAAGAAGTGCCTTTGCAACACACAATGTTGGCAACTTGGGAAGTTGCGGCCTAGTGATTAGGGCATAGAGCTCGGAAACCTGAGGTTCTGAGTTCGAGCCCCACTACCACAGACAGCCACTCTGGGTCCCTGAGCAAGACCCTTAACCCCACACTGCCCTCCAGGACGATGGCAGCCCACTGCTCCCTAAGGGGATGGGTTAAATGCAGAGCGTTAATTTAATTGCTCTGTACTTGTGACAGTGTAATGACAATAAAAGCTGGAAAAAAATAACACGTACCAGGGACTGTACAAGTAACAGAACAGTGTGTAAGGTGCATATAATTTCATATCATAATATTGCCCTTGGCAACTGCCCATATGATCCACACCAAATACAGCCACTGGTAGATGTTGGCAGGTTTGGGTGTTAGCTACTACCATACCCCTTTAGCTCAAACCAGCTTTACTTCTTTTTTTCCCCAGTCATAAAGGGTGATCAAGAGCCTCTGCATAAACTGGTTTCATTTACAGTGATTTTCATGATAATTTAAAGGGGTGTCAATAATGGTGGCACCCTGTGCTCCATGAAAAAGAATCCAAGTTTCAGTTGAAGAAATGCTCATCACTAGCCATTCATCTTTTGCATATGCAGCTGCAATGATCTTGAATCCTTTTTCTCTTATTTACATCTCATAATTATTCTTCATAGCCTGATCAGTTTCCCCAATGAATAAAACACTCTGCATCTGTATGCATGTCCTGCTAATTTGGATTATTGGGCTATGTCATGACTGAGGGTTATACATAAGGGTATGCATGATTTGTTTGTGCATAATTTGATGCTACTGGCTGATGGCGTGCTCCACGACATCCTTTTGATTTCCATCATGACATAATCAGGATGACTCAGCGGGTGCTCTGTTACATAAGCAGATTGTCATCCTCACCTCCCCCTTGACCAGATTAGAAACACAGTAGACTGAGTTTCCAGCAGCCTACTGACATAAGCCTGGAGATCCTAATATGGTAGGAAAACACTGCTACCTACAGGAAGAGGCTGATATTACAATTTGTTTATGTTAGTATTTTTTTTTCTCAGAAACTGGATTAACCATTTTTTTCCTTAATTCTCTGAACAGCATGCAATAATAATCCAAGGAATTCTGAAATGTAGCATAAGAAGACTTTATTTCTTGATTTTTCACAGTTCAAGAGCACTTGTACAACATTAAAACTTTCTTTGCAGAATAAAGATAACATTTACCAACAATATAGTACCTACTGTTGGTATGAAAATTCATAAATATAAACACACTCGGTTTTAGTGAGTAATAGAGAGCCTAAAGTATTAAATATTTACAGCTTTATTATAAAAGAAAAAAGCAGAAAATTATGTCATTCTTAACCTACAGCTCATTAAAAGTACACACTGTGGTCTATAGTGCTATTTGACTGATTGTACAACTGATCGAGCTTTTAAAGATATCAACTTTTTTCTTTACTTTTCTCTGATAATCACTTTGCTTAGTTGATGCACTGCTTCTGAACCTGTTTCACACTTTTTTTCTGTTAGTGTTAGGCTATTCATCCACATGCCCATAATATATACAGTGTTGGTTTAACAGGCTTTCAATGGTCCTCATGTAAGTTTTGCAGGGTTTAAAAATTCCCAGCTCATTACTTTTCACGTGGCTGATAAAGAAAGTTCATTTTATTTTCTTTTAATCTTGTTTGTGTTTATAGGGATCATGCAAGGAAAATGTATTTTCAATCAGGAGAACATGAGAGCTGTTGAAGGTCCTTATAGTGAGAGCATGAGTCATACAAGCAGAAATAATAAAAAAATTTAATATTAAATGTCATATGTTAAGTACTACTCTGTAAGGCAATAATTACCCGCAGGCGAATGTTTAAACATTGGTTATCAGTAAAAGGACTGAAGACATTGTGGAGTGGTTCTAATGGTCAGTCAGGTGTGTCTCTTCATGTGCAGAGCCAGGTGGTCTGAGCGGGAGAAAGCCCTCTGACACAGCATGCACTCATACGGTTTCTGACCCGTGTGTTTCCGGTAGTGACGTGTCAGTTCATCAGAGCGGGCAAATTTCCAGCTACAGCCTTCCCATGGACAACGGTATGGCTTCTCTCCTGTGAAATAGTTCAAATAGATTTTTATATGGAACTCCAAAAGAGTTACTTTCATTTCATTTTTCTAAAATGCAGTCAGTAAACCAGTTTATATGATTCACACAAAGCACTTAATTTATTCTCAATTTAAATTTTTTTATTGACACCATGTGTTAGGGTTAGAGTTAGGCCAAATGTGCCACCGTCCAACAAATAAATATTTCTTCATATGCAGTAAAATGCTTTAATTTAAACTTCAATCTGTAAGGTTAATAGATGAAAGTTATTTGTAGAATATATCCTCAAATTATTGATATTATTGATTTCATTGATTCAATTATTCAATTCAATTAATTATTGATTAATAATTGTGTGAATTTGTTGATGTTGAGTACACCCCACACAGAAGCAACACATAGTCAGACAGGTCAGAAAACCATGCAATTAACATCTTATCCTACATTCATTCAAAATATTACACCCTGGATTCTAGCCCTCTTGGTCCTTTTATAGTAAACTAACATAAAATGAATAAGAAAAATAGTAGCTCTTCTGCTCCAATGGCATCAATAAAATGTATTAATTTTATTGATTGATTGACATGTGGCCAAGGACCGGTGGTCCTTGGCCACATGTCCTTTCCTGTCAGCCTACTGTCAAAAAAATGAGCCACTAGTGTTGCAAAAAAAAAAAAAAAAAAAAAGAGAATTCAAACTTCTGAAAGTATGAAATTCTGACATACTGGTCAATAAATGATTTTTTTTTTTTAAATTAAGATTAATTTTCATTTGAATTTGCTTTACCGGAGGCCATGTTTATCTATGTTTATCAAAGAACGCTACTCTCACCCACCGGTTTGTGACGTCACAGTGCGTTTTTGGCTTTTGAGAAAGTCCCAGTGCTCTATCTGGTGTTTGTAACAACGTGCTATTATTCAAGTCATCTTGAAAACATTCTTCTTCGAAATGTTGGCTACATATTAGTATTTTTTCTCTGGTCAGAAGTTTGATGGTAAATCCTCCCTCTTCAAGTTAGCAATCCAATGACGAAGCCGTGGTGGATGAATATAAATCAGAAAGGTGAAATAAACTTTTTTTTTTTCGTTTTTTCTTTTACCCGGTTTATTACAACATCTAAATGCCATGCATGTTGGCATTGTCAGTATAACTAGCTCTCACGAATTTTAATTGTGAAATCCTCTCGAAATCTTAAATAATTATTGTTGATTGCAGATGTGTCCAGTAGTTCCCATTGACTTTGCTTGTAAAGCGAGCTGACCAGACTTTTCCTTTAACAGTTCTAGCTGTGTGTGTGTGGGGGGGGGTTACCTGTGTGGGTCCGGAGGTGAGCTTTCAGGTGTGAGCTCTTGGTGTAGGTCTTGGTGCAGCCTGGGTACTCACAGCTGTGGACGGCAGGCTTTTTTTTCCCAGTGGGTCTCCTGCCCCTCTTCCCCTCCACTCCACAAGGAGGCAAATGTTGCCTGACCAGTATGGGTTGCTGATGATTGGGCAAATGAAGGGTGGCTTGGCCATGGTGGTGGGAGTATTCACCGCACAGGTTGGAGTTTGGACCAAACTGGGGCACGTAGCTGTAATGCCGGGGGTCAGGGGTCATGACCTGTGGCTGGATGAACCTGTTATCTGGCATGGTGAGCATTGGGTTGTGTTGCTGGGTGTAGTAATGGTTAAAGTCCCAGGAAGTGAACTTATTGAAACTTCCTCTGCTGTGTCTGTCTACACTGCCTCCATGAGGGATGTCAAACTGGTTTATGTTCTGTGCATTAAGAAACACACCTCGACCTGGCTGGTCACAGGTGTAATCATGATGGTAGATCTCAGGCTGCACAGATGGGGCTTCAGCTGGAGACATGAGCTCAGCCATGAGGCCGCCATTGCTCATCTGGAGAGTCTCCTGCCCTGTCTGCTCCTTGAACATACCCATCCCTTGGTAAGGCAGGTTTGGCTCAGGTTGAGCAAGTAGTTGACCATCTAAAGTAGAGTTGAGATCGGGGGAATTGCTGCTCCACTCAGAAAGCAGAAGCTCGATGTCCCACGATGTCTGGCTATCATCATCAAGGAGCTCCTGTTTCATTTGCTGGCTGACATGGACCTGGTCAGAGCTGTTTGGTGACAGCTTATTGATCGTAGAGTCCAGAGGGAGAGAACCATCACTGGACTTCCACACCTAGATCAAGGGTATGCAGAGATCAAAATTACAAGAAGAATCCTACATTCTGTTTCTACATTTTACAAATTAGTATTTAAAAGTGTAATTTTAAGCTTCAGGTTTTCACAGAAAACAGACTCATCATGCATCTCATGATCCTCCTCTGCTGTGGATGTTAAAAGGGCAGAGGAGGGTAGACTACCTATAAGAGTAGCACTACTTTATCCTATTTCAACTCAAGTGAAAGGAAGAAGCCATCCAAGAAATGACTCCAGTAAGATTAAAAAAGTATTTGGTAAAAAAGGCTAGTTCAGTCATCAGTAACTCAGAGCATCTGATTTACTATTTAAAATAGAGTAAAATCCAAATTTATTCTGAAAGTCTGATATTTTAAAGTCTAGAGTTAAATAATTGAAACAAATAAATAATGTAACTGAAATATAAGAAATCCAGGCAGACAAAGCACTTCCTTAGAGTAAAGCCAGCACCAGAAGTGACCATATTTACCATTCACTGTTTATACGCTTAACCTCGAAATAGAACAGTAGGTTCACCAAATATAAAGTAAGCTTGTGTACAAAAAAATAGGTCTTATTTTGACGTAAACATTAACTGTGTGTCATTGTCTTGAGAACTATTTAGAAAACAAGTTTGATGGTAATTCTTTTAGGTGACTCACACTGGAAGGAGTAGCAAAACAACAGTAAAAAGTAAGGTGCAGTAAAACTACGTCTAAAAGTAAATTTTTGTTAAAAGTGACTCAAATATTTGTGAATGAGTAAATGTAATTTGTCTGGAAAGGGTCCTACAGGGAAACAATAATTATTGAAGTACACAAATATGCAGCTTTAGCCCAAAGACTTAATAGGTACCTATGTTAATGAGATTGGGTTTGGGAGCTAATCAGACACCACAAAAAATATCCTGCTTATTTTATTGATGAAGGTAACTCCACATGCTTTTAGATTACCTAACCATCATTTCCTTTACTAATTGTATGACAAGCAGGCCAATCGGGTTGTTTAGCTTCTTCCTTATTCCTATTTAACTTTTTTTAAATTAAAAGCATTAGTGAAAAATATTCTATAGTTTATTAATTTGTTCATACTGTAATGTATTCATGTATTGTTTAATTTATTAGAGAATGGTGATCAGAACAATAATATTTAAATACAAGTGTACAAAAGTGTGAACAATTGTGCTTCAGTCATTCTTTGTTATCTTTGTTGGTCATTTTGTGTGACAAACTTTGTATCTATAATAAAACAGTATTATGGTAATTATGATAATTATTATTTTTATCGTTGCTTGAAGTTCTTTTAATTTCATTGCATCCAATCATGTTTTTTGTAAAAAAAAAACTATACTGACTTTCTCTTTACTGTCATGTTTTGACGTGATTGTCTCTTCTAAGTAGCTTGGTGACTGAAGAAAATAGCCACAGAAAACAGTTCACTAAAGTAATTGACATTGTCAAATAAAAGGTTTTCACCCTGCAGCAAGTTTGAAGAACTAAATGCACAAAATAGTAATGATTACAAAGAACTTCTGATTTATTAATTGATCATACTAATTGCTCTTTACTTTCTTGCACAAAAATGTCTTTTAATTTATTCAAATTTGATGTGACAGGTTATGTTGTTTATAACTGTTCGGCCTTTTGCAAATGTTTCAGCTCTAGTTTTCTTTTTCAATTAAAGAACTTAAATGACAGTGTGCATTTTTATTAGGCCCCCTTTACACTTTTACCCCTAAATGCAATCTAATGCATCCAATTACCTTCAGAAATAATCTGATTAATAAATTACCAAACAGTAAGCGTACAGCACAAATAATAACCTAAAAATGCATACCAAACACTTTAGATTCTTATTTTTCAAAAAACTTATCACCTTTTTTAATATCGCTAACCTAACTATCAAACTGGCATTTTATTTTGGTATACCTATCAGTTTATCTTAATTCAATTTGATAAAAAAAATACTTCATTTGTGCTGAAGGGAAATAAAAAATTAAATATTATTGATCAAATAAAATAAATAAGAACTAAAGAATATTTAGATTGCTGATTAGGGAATAAAAAATAAAACATGGATCCACTGATGGAGAACTTAAGAGGTCTTAGAGCGTCCCTGCTGCCCTGTGGGCTCTAAGCAACAGCTTAGTTTTTGGGGCCAGCTTTGTATGTATCCGTGCAGTTAAATTTAAAGCTAAGCTTTGATAAAAAATAAAATAAAAATTTTATTCAGAAAAATATTTAAATCCAAATTATCATTAAAACCAATCCACAATTATACCACAAATAAATATGCATGAGGGTAAAGTATTTCTTTACTTGAATATCACAATTAAAGACAGATAAATACATTGTAATACTCACCTTCATGACGTCAGTGGAGGGAGAAAGGCTGGAGAAAGAGCTGAAGGAAGGGAGCGCAGCCTGAGTAACGGCCATTAAGCTCCCAGATCAGATAAACAGCAGGACGATATAATGAAATTAATGTTTAGAAGTTAAATCTAATGGGGTTTTAAAAATATTTCTTTAATTCTTCATGGCTATCTTTCCCTCTCTAGCTAAAATGATGAGGCCACTCGGCTTAGTCTCGTCCCCTCAGAGCCAGAGGGCCTCAGAAAAGTAAAGTCTCCTCAATGCTCATCGCTATCTCTCCTCATGTCTCTTGTCTGTCTCTGTCAGCTGTTAGTCTAACTTCAAATCTCTCTTTTTCATGTAGCTTTAGACCGTTAGAAGGAGGAGGTGCACTAGTGAGAAAAACTTTGTTCTTTAATTTGCTCATCTGACTGTCTTCCTGTTCTGGAGTGCATAGAGGAAAAAAAAGAAGGATCTGTTGACAAAAGATACCTAAAATAAACTTGAAGTGCATCAGTTTGTGTCATGTTGTACTATGTCAGAAATTTTTTTTGCATTAAATAGCAAATTTCATTATGATAAAATCATTCATTCATAAAAACTAGTTGAAGCTCTTGATGAATCCGTGTTACAGGCACAGAAAAAAGAATGACTTAATCTAAATGATTATAGGAAAATATATATATTTTTTTTAATGGAGCTGAAAACAGATAAAATCAAATAAGTCAGTTAAATAAATAACGAGATGTACTTGGCTTTATAAAAGTGACCCATTTTTAGTTGTTTTTTTTTGTGTGTCTTTTTCTGTTTTTCGATTTATCTTATAAGTAGATCACTATTTTTACATTATTTCCAAAAGACTGGGGAAAGTTCAATTCATATTAGCTTTGCCACACAAAGCTGACCTTATGGGAACATTTTAGAAGGGTTCAATCTCATGTAAAATGTAAATATGAATAAAAAAATATATATATTTTTTCGTTTAAGCCTATTTATTAGAAAAGTTAACTTAACAAAACAAAAATGCTGTAAGACGATATGTAGAAGTACTGTAAAGAAAATATTTATTTTAGATTCAAGAATTTGACAAAAGCCAGCCTCTTTTGTGTTCTTGTTGAAAGTTGAGCCCTGTTGTTTATGCAGACTCATATGTAGATTCTCGGTGCAGACGTGCAGCTTCTGGGAAGAGCCCTGTGTGAAAGGTGATTATATTCTGGCTGCTGTTTATCTGCAGACGTGGGTTAAAGGCAGCCTGCTGCCTACTCACTGATAAGGGCTGTTGCTGATCCCTGATGATGAGCCTGCCACTGATAAAGACTCTGTTTCTATCCTACAACATTCATAATAAAGACTTAATAGCCTTTAATATATTGTATGTTTGGTATGTGAAGGTTATTAGAAAAATGCCCAAACACCTGACTAGATTTAAGGTCTTATACAGGTGTTTTCAGAAATGAAACACCATGAGGATATTTTACTATTGTTCAAACGCCTTTATAATTTCTGTGGTGAAGATCAGGAGTTTTTTAAACTGAAATTATGTTTAATCTTTTCTTCATTGTATTCTGCTAATGTTTTGTGTAGGTCTAGAATTCACCATTCAGTCATAATTAGAAACATGTTCGGAGGTATGCAACAGAAATTCTTATATTGATAGTTTCCCAATAAATTGGATCTTTAGTTTAAGTCATTATTTTAAAGGTTAAACTAAAGATTACAATTTAGACTTTAACTTATAATCTTATATCTGAATCATAAGGAACACATAAATCTTATCACATTAAAATCTTGAAATCGAAATGTGTTTTTAAGCAGCCCCTATAAAAATGGGCCCCTATAACTTTAAAGGAGACCAAAAAAAAAAAGGTCGGACGTTCCTGTTGTTTTGCCGTTGCTATGACAACATATTACCGCTGACTTCCTGATCGCAGTGTGGGATTCACTTCTTTTTCCTTTTATTCTTTTATTATTCGAAAAACTTAAATACAAAAGCAAGTAAGATTAGAATAAACTTGTTAATATTTATTTTAGTGTGGCAGCTTTGTAATCTATATTTTATAAAAGCAACAGTTCTTTTATTTCCGTTATTCATCTGTTTTCCACTGTTAGCATACATCTGATGATACAAACTATTATTACTGAAACGATTTAAATATTATAGTACCAGCGTAATTACATATAAGCAGACATGGTAATAGTAACTAGTTACAATTAATTAAATTCCAACATTAGATGTTAAAATCAGTAACTCAGTTATTAGTCATTTTAACAACTTATTTTATTTGTACAGTTTCTGGTTAGAGTATTCTTCCCTCCTCCACCTAGATATAATTTTAGTTATAAAAACATTTTTTTTTGATTGTTTGGTGGTTTCATAATAAAGCGTTATGTATGACTGTGGAGTTTACAGATGGAAACCTTCAAGCAGCCCACAGGAGGCAGAGGACTCTGGAATAACCCCAGACCCTCACTGTGCAGCAAGGAGACCCAGGAAATGCTGAAATGTGAGTAAAAAGGGCTTGTTACATGCAGAGGGGGATTTATTACCTAAACATGGTAATAAAGTAAGAGGAGCACTAGTAAAAAAAAAAAAAAGTAATTAAAGAAATTATTGAGATAAGAGTAAAAAAAAATTTGGACCATGCCACCTGATTTAATGTTTAGAAATTATGTTGTCAGCAGAAGGTATGTGCAAGATCTGATATTTCAAGGAAAAGGACAAACACAAAAAAACAAACAAATAACTAACATTATTATGAAAAAAGAAATAAGTAAGGTAGAAAGTTATCCAAATCCATTTTTTTCCAAAATAAAACCAATTCTTCCACTGACAATATCTACTGTTTACAGTCTATCCACTTGATCTCTGAATGGTTACTCACAGCAGTCAGAGTAGGGAGGAATTAAACTCAAGTAGGAGTAGTGATACTTCACAAGAATATTACTTGAATTGCAATGCAGTGAAACTACTCCTAAAATTAAGTGCCTACCAAAATGTTATGCAAAGTAAAAGTAACCAGTTATTACCCAACTCTGGTTACATAACTAAATTATATTCAACAATTGTTTTTTTGTTTTTTGTTTTTATCTCGGTCTAATCAGTTTCATAGCTAAAGTTTAATTGAAGGAAGGAAAGGTAAGTTTACTTTCACTAATTTCAAGGATAAAATGCTAAACATGGAGACATTGCTGAGCAAGCGGAGGTTGAGTTTATGGTATTGCGCAATGCAGTCAATGATAAGCCCTCCTTTATCTGATTTATAATTTATGTTCATTTGATTTGTTCAGTGAGGAAAGAAGAATCCAGGTTTATGCTCCTCCAGAGAAAACAGATCAACAGGTCCACAAACAGTAAGTCAGAAACAGTAAAACCATAAAGAAGTATTAATGTGTTTTGACTTTTTTCCCCATATTAAGTTTTTAACCGTGCTCTTCATACAATTCATTCAGATTTCATATGATTTCAGATTTTATTTGAAATACTAAGTGATATGTAATTGATAAATTGAAGGATTATCCTTACCTTTCCCGCTTGTTAAGCAACTAATAATTTGAGAAGTAGGCCTTGTGTTTGTATTCATCTTCCTTTTACTGTTGACTCCAATGCCCCTAAATGAAATCCAGTAAATTAAAGTATAACACAACTATATAAACTTTTATGATAAATGACAAAACATTGAAACATTAGATTTTACCTAGTAAAATATCACAACTATTCATTGTGTATAAATATGTTCACAAGGCACTGTATACATATATATTTTAACAATAATTACGTCTGCCAAGGTGGTTATGATTTTAGGAAAGATGGTGTATTTGTCCATCCGTGTAAAGGATAAACTGATAAAGTTATGAATGGATTATGATCACATTTTTATCAGAGGTGTCCCTCATGCCAAGGAACAATCCCTACAGTAAAGTTTGGTACTGATCCAGATCATGTTTTAGCTATAGGTGTTATGTACAATTTGCGTCGAAATTTGCTGCTTGGCGGAGCTCTGCGCTCTTCTAGTGCTTTTCTAGTTAAGTACTGTTCTCATCAGTTTTGGGACCATGTAAAATGATTCAGTTGTGTTTGAATAAAACCTCTTCATCCTAAGGAGGAGCGGATTTGTCCCGGACTTCTGATTCCAGACCACCTCCAAGCAAATCTGCTCAACACAGACCCAGAATGTCTCAGAGACGCAGTGCTGAATCCTGTCAGGCTGGGAACAGTTACGAGAGGGAAAAGTTTCACCCTGGTCCCGTACGTAAGTAAATGAAATATTTTACACAAAAAAAATCTAATTCCTCCTGTTTGCAGAAACATGTACAGAAGGATTTCTATACATCCTGATCAATGTTGGTCATTTCTCTGCGCCAATCTTCAGGGGATTTGGAAAAAGAAAAGAGACGGCTTCAGAATATCATGGCAACAGGAACTGAAGAGCCTGAAATTGGCTCACCTGGAAAATTACCTGGAAACAGCAAACGGGAAGAACCAGAGGAGACAGACCGATTCCAGGAAGGTAAAGCTAGAAGCACAGATCCAGATAGAGCAGGAAGAATAAGTCATAGTTAATCTAACAGATTCTTTCTCTGTGCTCCACAAATGAAAATCACTCTTTCTGCAGTTTTAAATGAAATAGAAGAAAGGAGACAGTTTCTAGCAGATATGGCAGCTTTGGGTCAGGATCATCAGTATAGCAGCATTATCAATGCAGAGATATCACAGGTAAGAACATTGTTTGCCTTGCCAAAAATAATTACTGATTCTTGCATGTATACTAGTTAACATTTCAGTTACTAATTTTTATTTGGATGATCACATCTTACAGCACAGAAAAAAGCTTTCTCAGAATATTAGGATATTATATATATATATTATAATCTGGACACTCTTTTTTTCTCAACCATTCAAGTGCAATACACTACATAACTGTTAATTTAAGTCATTGTTTTTGCTATAGCCCTCTGTATTTGTCTATCCTCATCCCCCAATACATCTTCCTACACCTTATTTAATTGATTCTATTTTTCTATTGTATATACTGTGTCTAAACATCCTCTATTTTCTTGTATGTGCAATTTTTCCTGCTACTGGAAATACAATTTCCCGAAGGGAGTAATCCCAAGGGATTAATAAAGTCAAGTCTAAGTCTAAGTCTTATAATAAAAAGTTAAAATAAGGGTTGGACTGTCGCTCAGTGGTCCAAAGTCCTCTTTTCACATAATGAAAAATAATGTGACACTTTTACAGGCCTATTGTCTTTCATTTGATCTCCATCCCGATCATGCAAAGATGACTCAGATTTTGCTCCCTCAGTCTGTTCATAAGTCTATAGGGCATAATTCTGCACGGCTACAGGTTGGCTGTGCAGAAAAACACTACCCATAACATCTGCTTTAGCAACTTGGGCTTCCCTCAAGGAAAGGATGATCATCTCAAGAAAACACTGAGTGGATGCAGTAATTAATTCATAGAGAACATCTACACTATGAAGAACAACAAAACAGTTCATTAAAAAAAAATACATTTTTATTGGTCTAATTCAGAAGTCTTCAACAGGGGTCCGCAATCCCTAGGGCAGGGGTGCTCAAGTCCAGTCCTCAAGAGCTACTATCCTGCAACATTTTCTTGCACCCCATTTTTAACACACCTGAATCAAATGAGTGGCTCGTTATCATGCCTCTATTTGGCTAAATGAGGGGATTGAGCCTTTCAAGGTGTGTTAGAGAAGAGATTCATGTAAAAGTTATAGGATGGTAGCTCTTGAGGACTGGACTTGAGCACCCCTGCCCTAGGGGGTCTCGAAAGTTTTGGTTTAAACTTTTTTTAAATATTTCCCCCCTGCAATTTTTTCCATTAATTGAAATGTCTTTAAATCCACATTAACATAAATTCAACACACTATAGTAAACAGATAAATGGAGGCAGAAGATGTCTTTCAGTCATCAATGCACACATTCAGCAACACACCAGAGCTCTTTCAAGCTGGGCACCGTCTCATTCACAACACCTCTTCCATCAACCAGGAATCAGAATCAGAAATACTTTAATAATCCCAGGGAGAAATTACTTTCGTTACATTACTCCATATGTAATAAGAGTGACAATAGGACCAGTTTGATATAACACAACTTCATACCTATATATATATATATATATATATATATATATACACAGTTGTGGTCAAAAGTGTACATACACTTGTAAAAAATCATAATGTTATGGCTGTCTTGAGTCTTCAATAAGTTCTACAACTCTTATTTTTCTGTGATAGAGTGATCGGAACACATACATGTTTGTCACAAAAAACAGTCATAAAATTTGGTTCTTTCATAAATTTATTATGGGTCTGCTGAAAATGTCACCAAATCTGCTGGGTCAAAAATATACATACAGCAACATTAGTATTTGGTTACATGTCCCTTGGCCATTTTCATGGCAACTAGGCGCTTTCGGTAGCCATCCACAAGGTCCTGGCAAGCTTCAGGTCGAATGTTTGACCACTCTTCTTGACAGAATTGGTGCAGTTCAGCTAAATGTGATGGTTTTCTTGCATGAACCTGTTTCTTTAGCACTGTCCACATGTTCTCAATGGGGTTTAAGTCAGGACTTTGGGAAGGCCATTCTAAAACCTTAATTCTAGCCTGGTTTAGCCATTCCTTTACCACTTTTGATGTGTGTTTTGGGTCATTCTCTTGTTGAAACACCCAACTGCGCCCAAGACCCAACCTTCGGGCTGATGGTTTTAAGTTTTCCTGCAGAATTTGGAGGTAATTCTCCTTCTTCATTATCCCATTTACTTTCTGCAAAGAACCAGTTCCACTGGCAGCAAAACATCCCCAGAGCATAATACTACCACCACCATGCTTGACAGTAGGCATGGTGTTCCTGGGATTAAAGGCCTCACCTTTTCTCCTCCAAACATATTGCTGGGTGTTGTGGCCAAACAGCTCAATTTTTGTTTCGTCTGACCAGAGAACTTTCCTCCAGAAGGTTTTATCTTTGTCCATGTGATCAGCAGCAAACTTCAGCCGAGTCTTAAGGTGCCTTTTCTGGAGCAAGGGCTTCTTTCTTGCACGACAGCCTCTCAGTCCATGCCGATGTAAAACACGCTTGACTGTGGAGACTGACACCTGTGTTCCATCAGCTTCCAAATCCTTGCAGACCTGCTTCTTGGTGATTCTTGGTTGACTCTTGACCATCCTGACCAATCTCCTCTCGGCAGCATGTGATAGCTTGCGTTTTCTTCCTGATCGTGGCAGTGACACAACTGTTCCATGCACTTTATACTTGCGTATAATTGTCTGCACAGTTGCTCTTGGGACCTGTAGCTGCTTTGAAATGGCTCCAAGTGACTTCCCTGACTTGTTCAAGTCAATAATTCGCTTTTTCAGATCCACACTGAGTTCCTTTGACTTTCCCATTGTAGCTTTTGTAGCTGAGTCTAATCACTGGGTCAAATGAGCCCTATTTAAATGGGCTCATGAGAAGTCAACAGCTGAAGTCAATCAGAATCACTTAGAAGAAGTGAAGAGGCCATGACATGAAGCTAATTTGATTGACACAACTCGCTACATCACCAAAGTTGACAAATTTTGTTGCTGTATGTATATTTTTGACCCAGCAGATTTGGTGACATTTTCAGCAGACCCATAATAAATTTATGAAATATTATGACTGTTTTTTGTGACAAACATGTATGTGTTCCGATCACTCTATCACAGAAAAATAAGAGTTGTAGAACTTATTGAAGACTCAAGACAGCCATAACATTATGATTTTTTACAAGTGTATGTACACTTTTGACCACAACCGTATATATATATATATATATATATATATATATATATATACACAATTAGGTGGTCATCTGGCCATCAGTATGGGGGTCCTTGGCCTGGAAAATGTTTAAGACCCCTGGTCTAATCTAATATGGGTTTTCTTTGCCGTCTGTCAATAATAATAATACATTTTATTTAAAAAGGCGCCTTTCTGGACACTCAAGGTCACCGTACAAAACATAAAAAGTGTCAGAAAAAATAAAAATTATAATTATAAAAACATTTAAAAACATTTAAAAATACAGAGGCTGTGACAGTGAAATTGATATTTTTAAAGAGAATAAGCAATCTTGAACAGATGGGTTTTGAGTTGTATTTTAAAATGGAGAATTGAGTCCGTATTTCGAAGTTGGGGTGGTAGAGAGTTCCAGAGGCGGGGGGCAGAGCGGCTGAATGCTCTGCTCCCCATGGTGGTGAGACGGGCGGAGGGGACAGTCTGTCCTCATAAACAGAATTAAGGCTTTGAAATCTATCCCCCTTCATGCAAAGAGGGATTTTCCTTGTTTTATTAAAACCCTCAAACTGTTCAATGATCTTCTCATTTCCTGAGACGCAATAATAAATGTCATTTACCGTAAGTTTAAGTCAACCACACATTTTCTCTGTTCTACCAACAGAGACTTCATGAGCTGGACATCCTTGATCAGGCCGGCAGTTCCAATCAGCGAACGGAGGACTGAAAGTCACTACAGGAGATAATGCCTACTGAACAGAGTTGTTTAAACTGATTTTTGCAGAAAGAATTAAGATATACTTGTGAGATGTTACTTCAAAGAACATTTCCAATCATCTGCCTCATGTTTCCGCTTTATAAGTCAGTGAACAAAAACTTTAAATAAACTGAGTTTATTCTTCTCCTTATGCAGGTCAGTACTTTATACAATCCAAGATGTGGTGCTACTGAAGCCCTTTGTTTAAGCTGGACCAGTAGTCAGGCACAGGGAGAGAACAGAGGTGTGATAACAAAACAACTACACGCACAAATATGTAAGAACTCTACAGACCTTCATTCACATGCTCAGATAAATAAAACAGCCTGGTCATAAATACAATGCTCAATTAATTTTAAGGCAATACAAACAGAAAGGCTTATAAAAGTTAATGATTGTATAATAAAAGCCTACGTAAACCTGCTCCCTAAAGCTCATATAAAATAGCATTTTGCTTAATACTCTGTCCTCTTGTAATTATTGCATGGGGTGATAACAGATCTATGGGTTGCTTATTTAAATACACATTTCCTTCCTTTCATGTTTTCCAAACACACAAATAAATATTGTAACTACAAATAACAGCATAAACAAATGACGACATGAGGATTTCAGGAACAGTTTAGCAGCCGGAACTGTTTGGGTAAACTTTCCTTTCCGGTTTTCAATGGAAAACTGCTGCAGTTTAAAAAAAAAAAAAAAAAAAATCATAAAAGAAAAACAAACAAAAACATACTATACTTAAGTACCACCCGTAATACAAGGTCCATATGTCTCCTTTTGAAGGAGTAAAAGTGATACTGAGGGAGTGAAAGTCAAAGCAATGAATGTGAAACCGATGCAGCATAAAGTCAAGCAGGGACTGGGATCTGACAGTTTTTAGCAAATGGCTTTGATCTGATTGATTTTTTTTTATTTGATCTCTTCGCTGATCAGTGAATGCAACATATTTGCACACCGCCATATCATAGCAAGAAGTTTCAGTGTGGATGCTTTTACAGTATGGAGCATCCATATACAGGATAGATAATGCTAATGAAGCTCAAAAGTTGTAAAAATGTATTCAAAATAGAGACTGACATTTTTTCGGGAATCCCATGGGTCACGGGATTCCCGTGGGATGGGAGTCAGTATTAGTAACGATCACGGGATTGGGACGGTACAGGATTAAACATTAACGGGAGCAGACGGGAGCGGGAGCAAACCAATAATAACTTCCGCTCTGAGTTTTTCACCCGCACTCAAAAACAACAAGAATGGGAGTGGTGCAGGAGCCATTCTGAATGGGAGCAGGATGGGAGTGGGAGTAATTTCACCAGGAGTGGGACGGGACAGGATTTAGATTTCTACTCTGGCCCGGGATCGGGACGGGACACCATATTTTTCTGTGGGAGTGGGACGGGACAGGAGTGAAAATCCACTCCCGTGTCAGTCTCTAATTCAAAACAACACTTTTCCAAAAGTGATCAGGTGCAAGAAAACGAGAATGGGGCTCGATCAGCAGATACAGGAAGCTTTAGATTTAAATATTGACATGTTAGACTGAATACATCGGAAGCTGACAGCAATATATGGAAAGGCCAACATCTAGGCTAGGATTGTTAATCTTTAGAGAATAACTCCTGTTTTTTTGTAATGCTAACAACACCACCATGTTAATAGCTATAAAACTACTAATGACATTTTAAATGTCAAGTTGATAATGGTGATGAAGGCATCCCGTTTTCGCACGCAGTCTGACACTGCTTCCTTTACTCTAACTACTGATGACCACCTGGGGCAAGAAAAACGGAAAAATATGTTTTGAATACAGTTCTTATACCTTTTTATGGCCTATTTTTCCCCAAAGTAAAATGGGGTTGGTATAAACACAGAAGGTCAAAGCTTCACTGAAACCAGAGATCGGATCAGATTCGGTCCAACAAAGTTCTGATGGTTGGATCTATAGCACAAAGCCATTACTAAACCAATAACTATCAGGTATCAAGTTAAAACTAAAAGTAAGCTTAGCTTTGCTAAGTCCTCCTGAAGCATTGCCACTGAGTAACGCTGGAAGAGTAAAGGGCTGGTTATGCTCCCGCAGCAGTGTGTCGCAGTGAGCTTGTTGCAGGCATGATGCAGATATTTTTGATTTATGTGCAAGTTTGCAGAGGGACAATCACGAACTAGCTGTGGGTCAGATACGGCCGAGGCGGTGAGGAAGTGGAAAAACGCAAGGGCCAAGTTCTACGGAGAGATACGAGTGCGAAAAAGAGCGGGAATCCAGGTGTAAAAAGGGTTGCAGCGTTCTCGTGCACCTCGCTCTTCTAGCTGGTCCATCTTCAAGGGGCACTTTCCACAATGGCGGTCATAGAAACAGAACAAGCCAGTAGGGTACCAAACAGGAAATACTCTTAGTGTAGAGCGGATATAGATTTGACCAATCAGAGGCCTCCTGTCTGCGGTCACCTACAATTTGGGAGAGTTGCACCAGAGTGTCTGCGGAGGGGGCGGGGACATATGTGCGTTAGCTGCGACACACATGCAGACAACCTGGTTTCTGAGTATAAACCAGCCTTAAAGCTTTGTCATATATCAGTGCAGCACAATAACGACTCTCCACTCTTCAACATGTTTATATTTCGAGATCAAAGCTCATAAAGCACTTACTTAAACTGTTACTTTAAAATACACAAAGCCAGATGGAAAAGGTCACTGCAGATGTTTTAGGACTGAGCAGATGGAAAGTTGGAAGTGAAGGTCATCTTTCTGACCTGATATGCTCCATTATTCATCGTTAAATAATAATAAAAAAATGTTAGTCTTGTTAAAGTACTCCATCCTCCCCTGATGTGTCCTCTGCTCCTCAGCTCTTCTCCTTGTGAGGGCTGGGACTCTTTCCTGCTTCTCCTTTATGACTCAGCCTCTTCAGCACCTTGATGGGTTTAAACTTTTTCCCTTTTTTCTTCTGGTGGTCACTGTCTGGATCCTTGTGAAAGTCTGGCCAGGAGAGGATGGGAAAAAAAAGTTAAATTACAAAAAGATTTAAAACAGATAAAGGAAGTCAACCATAATAATAACAATTATCCTACCTTTTTTCTTCAACATGGCCTCCATTAGTTTGTCTTCCTCCTCTTCCCTGTAACACAGTGACCATAAATATCACCAATCAGAACATACTAGTACAGCAGAGATGTGTGGTAGTTGTGAAGGTTGTGGTTATATTCGGATACCTCTGCCGCTCCTGATCCATGTTGTTAACTATTTGGTTGCGCTGTTCAATGATGGTAACTAGCTCAGCCATCAGCTCCTGCTCCCGACTCTTGTCCTCCTCAGTCCAGTCTTTTTCTAAATTAAAGGAGAACAGTTAACAAATATTTCCCACTTTAATCTCGGATTCATTTCTAGCCTGTATTCACAGACTAATTCCTGGGTATTTTGACCAGAAGAACCCCTCATAAACAGTAGGCGTAAAAAAGGCTGCAACAACAGCAAACAAAAAAATATATACACAGAAGCACTGGGTTTAAATAATAATTTTAAAAAGATTTGCCATCTAATATAAATGGATCATAATTAATTTCCCTCTTTAGCTCAAACTTTTCTGTAACTCCAGTCCAAACAAACAACTAGACAGACTCGTTTCAAATGGTCTGCTTCCAAACAGATTGGTGTGTTTTAGTTCAAATAAAAACCAGCCTCAGTCCAACCCAACTGCAGGAAACATCTATATTTTTGGACTTAATGAGCCACCGTAGTATGCCCTGTAGCAATGGTTAATTTTAGAAGTCAATCATTTCAAATCTGTATCATCAGATGTTCCAAAATACGAAACAGAATATCATTGAATCTGTTTTAAATGCGCTGTTTTTTGACACAGTGAGTGTGCAGCTGTAATGCACACTTGGATGCTGGGGACAAACTATAATTGTTTCCACCTTTCAGGTAAGTTCTGAGGTCTTCCATAGTAATTTCCATCCAACTGGAGCAATGATCATCATATCCATTGTTTTGTTAAGTCATAGCTCAATTACCAAAAGTACAAAACCCAACTGTTCCACGCAATAATAAAGTCTTCTTTAAGTCTGGACCAAGAACGTGGAGCAAAATACATTCCTGATGGTGTGAATACACCCTTAGATTTTAAGGTAAATCTTAAGTGTAGATGTAGTTAATGAAAGTTTTGATAGAATTGAGACAAGGAGATTATAACCACCTGGTTTGTTGAGAAGACACCTCAGCTCATACTCCACATCAGCTTGCCTCTCCTCCAGGTTCTGCTGCTTGGCACTGCAACACAATTTTGCAATAATTACCATGGTTTACTTTTGACCTTTTTCAGGAATGTGGTTAGTAAGATTTGAAACACTGTTCCATATTTAAGCAATCAAAAGTGTCAATAGCCAAATAGCTGCAGCTATTTTTGTTTCTGCTGTCATTACCGTGAATCTAAATTTGTTTTCCTTTGAAGTGTGATGATAAAAGGGATAAAGATAAATGTTTTTTAAAAACATCTGTGTTGTGTAGTTTGACACTTACGTGTAGACCAGCTCCGCTTCACGTCGCACTAAATGATGTTTATCATGAATCAGAGTGAACCAGTCCACAAGGAGGCGCTCTTCATCCTCATCTTCATCAAATACACAGAAGAAAAGCATCACACGCATTAAACAAGCAGATTAATGAACACTGAATATCAAACATCTCTAGATACCACTGTTAAAAGATTTCCATGATGAAACAATTAGACCATAATTAATGCTACCAGAACCTTTTCCATTTTAAACATTAGATGGAAAAAGTTTAATACAAAACTACAACAACGTAGTTGACTGTAAACACACCCTTGATCCGACATTTGATTAAATGCACTGTCCTACATTTAGCATTATTAATATTTGTTCTGTCTGCAAATCTTCTCAACATCCATTTCAGTAAATCAGTTTGATTGTTTTATTGTTGTTTTTTTTCAACGCATCTTTGGACTCAGGCTGATGCTAAAAATTAAAATCTGTCATTCTTCAGCTTTAAGAGCCAAAACTAACCACTCTTTAGAAATGTTCACACATCAACAACTTTAACAAAAACTGATTCCTTCGGAACAGATGTGACCTCACAGCATGATGCTGCCATCACTGTAATTCACTGGGGATATGAGTTTCTTTAAGGTATGAGATCCAATCAAATCATCGTCTGGAGCCAAAAAATCAACGCAGCTTCATCAAACCTTAATATGTTCTTCAGTAAGATTATAGAGCATTTTTCCAGAATTTTTTTTTTTTTTTGAAGAAAAAGCTTCTCTCTCTTTATTCTCTGCGGCGTCAAGCGGAACCAAACCAGTACCAGTTGGACGTTCCTTCAGTTGCTCCTATGTTTATCAAATGTTGAAGAAACATACAGTTTTTGGAATTAATATTTCATCATGGTCTTTACTGAACTGGCACATTTATCTTTTTTAACCATTTTGAAACTCAGTCTTTCACTTTGGGTCTCAGCCCTTAATTTCAGAATGCATCCTGGCTGCTATTCTGTGTAGTGACACATAAGGGATGGGTTCAACACAGAGGACACATTTTTCCAATTAAGCTTATAAATTGAGCCTATAAAAGGGATAGTTCTCTTTTCCTCTATGACTGATTCATTTGGTAGGGTTAGATCATTTTGATCCTTTGTGATTTCTTTAAAACTATAGGCTTAGCAAAAGGATACGATTATAAATAAAATCCTAAATTCAGAAATCCCTGAATGCTGGAATCAAAGGACTGAATAAAGAATTAATTTGAGAGTCAGCGTTTTACACATTTTCATATAGATTATCTTGATGTATTTCTTTACCGGATAAAAGAACCAGCATGTTCTACAATCTTCCTTTCATTTTTACGTGACAAAAACATTTAGAGCGGGGAGAAAACTTCTTCATCACTACTCTCCTGAATGAACGCGGTGCATGTGTGATACCGTTAGGGGTGTCTCTCAGCTTCTTCTCCAGCTCCACTCCTCTCTGTTCCAGCTCATCCAGCTGCTTCTCCAGCTGTAGCAGCTCTGCATGGATGTCATCTATGGGGATGTACTCATCCGACTGCACCTGTAGGATTGTTTGGAGCCGGGTGAGAGCTTATCCGTTTGAGTTGGAACTGAAGTAGCATTCATTTTTGCCAGTATTTTCAGCCAGGTTTTTTCTGTACCTTCCGTTTGATAAGCGGGAAGCCATGTCCGGGTGCCGGGGGTCTGGCGGGGCGGGGCCCTCTTGAAGGTCTGTTTTCAGAATTTGGGTTAGAGGGAGATGCTTTCCTGTTGAAGGGATTCTCCTTACAAAACCGCTAAAAAAAATAAAACAGTAGAAGCATTAGTTCTTTGATGCAACACAGAGGATCCTTATAATGACCTGATTCTAAGGTGGTTTTATTACTTTGTTATTTGACTGTGTTGCTAGTGGGCTGGGAGTGGTGCTTGGTCGTGGTGGTTTGGATCCGGTGTTGCGGTTGGTCTGTGGAGTGGCCGGAGCAGAACTGGCATTTGCAGACATAGGAGAGGGGCTAGCGCTTTGAGAGGTTTGGTTAAGGAGATCTGATGATGAGGAGGAAGATGGGTTGTCGCTGGGGGAACACATAGAGGGCTCTGAGACGCTCTTGGTGAAGCTTTGCTCCTGCTCGCTGCTGGCACTGGCACCCAGTGGGAGCTGGGATGAGCTGTGGTCTGAGGCAGAGGATAAACTCTCTATGCTTAGAGCTGGAGAGGGAGAACAGGAGGAGGGCTGCGAGTGAGACACAGCTGAAGAAGGTAGTTTTGTTAAAAAGGAAAAAAAGGCAAGAAAGCATGAACAGAAAATGAAATAAAGAAGCAGGAGGGGATAACATAGAAACAAAGAAGAGTTAACATCCATTAGCAGCACATTGACTTTCTTTGTAACAGGCTATTTTTTTAGTTTGTTAAGAACAAAATAATCAGCTAGAGACAGCAACTAATCCTTTTTTATACTGACCAGAAGGCAGATAAGGATGGAGGGCAGCTGGACTTGGATAGCTGATCAGAATTAAGAACTTTCACATCGGTTTACAGCTTTAGCTCTTAGATCTACAGAACTTTTTTAGTGCTGGACTTAAACAGGCAAAAAACTCAAACACATCAGACTGAATTTGACAAAAAAAATCCTATATCAATATCTATTAAACCATTTTAGCAAAAATCTTTATGCTTTAGTCAGACAGACCAGCAAACAATGTAAAGATGATTTATCTATTCTGAAATTACCAATACTGTGATCAGACCCACCTTGGTTACCAGCAAGCGGCTGGGAAGGAACACGCGGTGCTGGCCTTTTCTTGCTCTTAGCGCTACCTGGACTGGCAGAGCGGGACGAGCTTCCTTTTGTGATGTTTGAAGCATCAGATGTCTGAGTGATGCTGTACCATGGGTGGGAGGCCGCCACTGTGGGTGGAACTACTCCTTCCTCACCTTCCTCTTCTTCATTTACCTCGTCGTCCTCATCCTCAAAGGGATTGGAGGGCTGAGGGGGCGTGCTGGGTCCAGAGCCCTCCGCTTGGGAAGAAGACAGAGAGCCTGTGTTTGGGGGTGCTGCCATTCCAGGAGGGGGTGGGGGAGGGGCTTTCTTCCTCTTAGATTCTGATTGGACCAGGGCAAGCCAAGGTGGGTCTTTGGGTTTATGGGTGCCACTAAAGCCATGAGACACAGACGGTGATGGAGGGGGGGTGTTACACAGAGGACAAGCACATAATGAATCCATACAGACATACCTAACGTTTTGTCACATAACGACCACAAACCAAGAAAGACCAAAATAAATGTAAAATGGGAGGAAAATGATATACAGCTGGAAAATACAGGCATAATGGAAATATGGCAAGAAGATACCATGAAAGGATGGAAAAGCAGCAATATGCCTCTTGAATCTTTGCAGAATCACTGGGAAACTTTATTGCCTTTAAAACACGTCCTCCACAGGTAGAGTAGCCGTGTTGGCTGTCAGTTTCCTTTTCCGTGTCACATTCTTCTAATATTCAGAATAGTGATGGGGATGGTTGGATTTTTCCATGGCATCATTTTTGTGCAGCTAACTGGGCGCACAGGGAGCCCAATGCGCAGCGTTTAAACTCTCACATCCTCACTTAAAACCTGTCTGCGAGCACTCAACTTTGACAAACTTTGCTCTGCCACCTGTGCTCTCTTGCTTCGGTGCTTTACTTTGCGCGCTCAACAATGTTTCTGCTGTTTGCTTCCTGTTGTCATCTAAAGTTACAGGTGTGTGATTTCGGCGTTAAATGCCAAAAAAAGAAAACACACTTTTTTGCAATTTTCGTTCGCAGGTTTTCAGTTGCCGAATTTTTGGTGCATCCTTAGATGTGGTAGCAAAATGCTGCTACCACCTCAGCAGGAACAGAGTAATAAAGAGTCGACAGGAGGAAAGACTGAATAAATCTATAGGGCCAAAAAATGGAAGGTAAATTGTTTAAAGGTGCAGTTGAAATTTCAACTAAGGAGGTTTTAGCATTGATGCAGGTAGGATACCTGCCACACTTATGAACAACAAAAAAATCTGTATCCTTATCTTTAACTTCAGAGTTGATGTTGGTTTATATATAGTAAAACGCCCATAAAACAGATTCAAGTCTGTGGTTGCAGATAGAGAAAATACATGCAGTTCAATGGGATCAATGCTTTTGCAATGTACTAAAACAGACAAACGGCGATGGTTCATACTCCAAGATATTATTATTATTATATTTTTTTAGAATCATTACAAAAATCTGCTAGAAGAGTGATTTGGTAACGTATCTGACAGAAAGCCCACCTACCTTCCAGGAGACTGTGAGCGCTCTCTGGGTTTGGGGGGAGCTGGAGGCTTCAGATGTTCGACTGCTAATAAAAAAATGTTTCTCAACAAATGTTCATGCATCTGAGTAAACCTGTTGTCCTGTTAGAGGAACTTACTGGCTGAAGAACTGCTTGCGTTGCAGGCTAGCCGAACCCGGGGAGTCGGGCGAGGTGGAGGGGTGGTCTCTGACAGCGTTCTGGGCGCCGGCACAGGTACACTGGCCTCAGCAGCATTTTCATCAGAGCCAGAAGGAACATCCCTATTGGATGTTTCAATAGTTTGTTTTTCTTCCACATTGCACTCCTCATCCTCCTCTTCATCACTCTCATCAAAAGGATTAGGTGGAGAGGAAGGACGTGATTCCTCCTTTTCCTCTTCATCCAAAGACTCTTCCTTATTGCTTGTAACAGTCGTGACAGAGTCATTAGCCGCTGTGTCACCATTAGTTGAGCGTACAGGGGAAGGAGTCTTTGTCTCATCCCTCTCAGAGAGGACGGGGTGAAGAGCTGCGCTGTGACCGGTCCTAGCAGACTGAACCTCCTCTGTTATTTTACTGAGATCCGGACGACCGTTCTGATTGGCTGAAGCGTGCTTTGAGAGATGGTGTGTACAAACCAACGCCCCAGAGTCATTTCCTCTGTAGGATCCAGGCAGGAGGGTGCTGCGACACTCTGTGCACCTGAAGAAAAAAAAAAACTTGAAACATTTTCCAACAAAAGAAAAGAGATGTCACTCAAGGAAATCATTAGAACATGTTTTTGCAATTTAGTGTGCTTGAAAGTAGTTTAATCCTGTTATATATGTACATATATCCCATAAAATGAATCCTAAAGAATATTTTAACTGTACAGGATATTTACAGTGTAAAACAAAGAAGATATGCTTTTAATTGTTCAATTTGAAAATATATTAGTTCTAAGATGATGGGGATGGGAGGGAAACGTTTCTATAAGAGTATTTCAGAGGAACCATCTAGAGAGAATATATCATCACCTAAACCTGCATTCAGGTTGGGTTTGATCACTCAAACTGACCCTGGTGTGCTCGAACAAAGCTCATGAGAAATTGCTTAATTCAAAGCAAATAAACAGATTTATTGACTTGATTCTTTATTTCAGGACAATAGATTTAGAATAGCATCCAAAAAACTATACTTAAAGCTAGAATCCATCGTTCTGATGCCCTGATTCACCCTGGCTTAACCTGCTGCCTCCATGGAGGCACCACAGGTGCACCTGATCTAAAACAGACTAAAGAGCAGCTTCTTTCCAATAATCATTGTTATATTTGTGTGCATATGTTGTGAATATCTCTATACTTATATTCCTTACAGTTTTTATAGTGACAATAAATCAATTCCTTTCCAATCCTCACCTGAAACAGCTCCGATGGTAAAGCTTGCCATCGATGAGAAACCTCTGCACCAGATGAACGTGTTTCTGGCAAGCAGCACAGGAGCTGCTCAGAGTGCTGCTCTTGACCACAGTGACCTCCTCTGCACCAGTCTGTGCAGGCAGCACCAAATGGATCCAGCACGTTGTTTGCAGGAAGGGGGGGGACAGGGACGAGACATCAGGGGAAGGGACAAGATGGACAGCAATGAGGGAGGGGGGAGATCACACATGGAGTCAGGAATTGAGGATGTGGATAATTCATTCTGAGTTATCTGGCTAAATCTAGAGCTAATTGATTCATATATGTGCAGCTTCCAACAGCAGCAAAAAAAAAATGGTTAAAGTGAGTCTTTAAAAAGCAAACAAACAGGTTAATAATCAAATCGTGTTTTTTGGTGACTAAAAGTGTGATGTGCTTTACATTCTTGGGATTTTCCAAGTGTGTTATGTGTTATTTAAAGGGCTTAAAAGGCAACGCACTGCAAATCCTGACACACAAACTGTTAGAATAATACCATGGTTAGTCTTAAATATAAAAATAAGATGATTAGGAAAGACTGACCTAAAGGGTTTCCTTTACTTAACCCAACCCTACCCCCACACTACTGCCTAGGCTCAGGACCAGAGAGTGAAGGGAGCACCAGATGTGAGGATGAAGGACAGGAAGAGGAATGAAATTCCATCTACAGACATGAGGAGGAGGTGAGAGGGTCATGATGCCAGATTGGGACAGAGGAAAGAAGTAGGAGCCGTGCAAGAAAAAAGAAAGACAGGATACAGAGTCTATCTTTATAGGCTCATTCTATCACTAGGGTTCACCCCCACACAATGGCCACACAGTGAAGGGCAGCTATATAAACCCCAACGAAGATTGGTGTTTTGTTGCCAGTTGATACCAAACAGTTCATGCAAAATCATGTTGATATATAAAAAAAAAAAAAAGAAGAATTTTACTTGCTAATACTTGTTGCTATCATGCAGTTGTAACATATGCTATTCATTAAGATTAAAATCAAACAGAAAACAGCAAAGTGCTCAGATATGCGTTAACTTTAAATAGTTTTTTCCCCATGCCAGATCACACATACCTCAGCTTCATCCCCCTTGTCTTCCAAAAGAGTTGGTGGCTTTTTCTGGGCTGGTTCATTATGACTGACTGTACTAAGCCTCTTCATAGAAGGGGGGTTCGCTGTGGGGGAAAATACCAAAGCAGTCTGTATCAGGCTTCAGGACAACCGGTTAAAAAGCTCAGCCTCATGGCGGCAGGCTAAACCAACCTTGTGATTTGTTGTTAAAAAAGTTGTAATACTGGGACACATATGTGATGATGCTCAGTCGGTCGGGGACTTTCATGGACACCATGTCTTCTGCGTCCAGCAAGGCTGGAATTCCCAGCTCGGTCTCTGCCACCTCAAAGGCCTGCAGGAAAAACAATGCAGGAATGACAAAGACAGAAAATGAGCTGATCAGCAGGCAGGTCAACAGATGCCTACACCATGAAACTGGTTATACACAATGAGGCTATTATTTGCTCATTTAGCTAAGCTTTATAATACAGATGTTATATGACATTATCAAATGCATTTTTCCATCGATGATACAAACTGAGGATTTGCATGCAGAATTAAAAAAGTTTATTCTTAAGCTTATTTTGACAGGTTTTTATTCATCTGTTTGCTTCAAGGTTGATTTATTTTTTAATTTTTTTTTCATTTAATCATTTCAGGAGATATTATTTGTGGCAATTATATTTTATAAAGATACTTTAGGAATTAAAAGGACAATTTTTTAACCCAAATTTTGTTTGAGCCTCTTTATTTCAACATATTTTATTTTTCTGTTATAATAGTCAGACATTTCTCTTTGAGGCAGCTTAATCTGGTCTGAGCTTTATCTTGATGGACAGATGTACCATGACCATAAATAACTGGGAAGCAATGGGTTCACTGGGCTTATGCTTTGAGCACAGGATAACTGCAGCAGTCCTGTTGAACTTTGGGGAAAAACAAACCAACATAATGAAAATTCAAAGGTGTATTAGAAGCTGCTGTGCTGACAGGGATTTATGCAAACTGCACTTTGTATTTACATGCGTTTTCTTTTGTTTTCCAATTGAAATACATTTGATGTTTTTAAATACTTGTGACAAAAATGTAAAATAATTAGAAATCAGGAAGACTTTTTACACTGTACATTATGAGCTTAATAATGAAAGAGTCATGTCAAAAAAGGGAGTAAACATGCCAACATTAGTCCTCATCATTAAACCATCATCAGCAGGAGGAAGATGAATCCTTGACAACTGTTGCCCTTTCTGTTCAGTTATTTATAGCTTTATATACAAGTGGTAAAAATCATGTCTGGTTATTCCTTTGTTGGGCCGGCATACTGCAAAACAATGAAATCTATATAAGTAATTTTTTTAATAATATTTTATATTTTGTATTCTTGAATTGAGGACATGAGACACTGCCAGTGGAACAAGACAATTTACATTCAAAATAAGAAAAGACAATTGCATTGTCTTATTTCAAGTGCATACTATCTAATTATCTTATTTTAAGAGTAATAATACCCGTTCCATTGGATAATAATCTTTTTCTATGTCTAGATCGTTTTTGCAGTGCACATTGAAGCTGTTCTGCTAAAACCCCTGCAATAATTAAAAATTCTACTTTAATAAGTTTAGATCTAAAAAAAATTGATTTGCATCCATAGAGTGAACAAAAATAAGGTTGAATGGGACTTTTCAACTCAAGCTTAAATAAAACTTTAGCAACAATTTCTGTAAAAGCAGAAATATAGGCCCCATCCAGTCTCCAGCTAGGGTGTACAGGCTCTCCTTTAGTTACCTCATTTATAAACGGTTCAAAAGATGATGAAAGTTGTGCAGATTTGGGATTAAACATGATCCACTCTCACAACTGCTCAACAGTCTAATGTGAGGAATGTGCTTTTCCCTAACCTTGAATGCACCACCTGTCTTCCTCTCCCCCTGAGCTCAAACTCCACCAGGATAAAGTAACATACTTGTGCATGAGCTGTTAAATAAACCAAAGCCATGCAAACCATGACTGCATGGACCCAGAAAAACAGGCCGATAAAAGACCCGACGCCTAACAGCTAGCTAGCTAGAACACGCTAATGGATGTTCTTCATCCAACAGCAAGTCGTTTCACAAGAAAGAGAGCTTCAAGGACTCACCAGACGGTTGTTCTCGTAGATGTTTTCTTTTGACAGTGAATCAAAGTCTCTGAAAGAAAGAAAAACACAAATTATCATGTAGCTCCTGTAATTATAGAACCTCAGTTCACCTTTTAAATCGTACAAGCCATGTCCCAACATGGCTCCTTTGGAATTACTATTAAATTGTTTGGGTTGTGTTGGTTCAAACTGTGTAATATTGTTTATTTTGCAAAGTTATTTTAATACTAATTTAACAGCTGCTATTCTGTTCTTCTATTTGGTGGTTTTATTCTGTGAATTAGGAAAAGAAAAGATCAGATTGATTGCTGCTGCCATTTTTCCACCTCTCCAGACTTATAACTGGATGCATTAAAGGAAAACAGATGTGGGACACAAAATTAAAGGTATCCCATGAAAAAAACATTTTTGAAGATCCTCCCTTAATAGTACAGTACTGTATTTAGCCAGCTGATGGTCTTACTCATCATCTTTCTATTAATAGCAGGGCAGCTTGATGTACAGTAATGGTGAGCTGATCTGCCTCACACCCACCACAGCTGAGAATATCCACTCTTTATATAAATGCCATATGAGGCCAATAAACTGCCAGAACAAAAGGAGAGAAACAGCAGCAGCAAACTAGCATGGGGCTGGTAATTACAAGGCTGAGCTCTGAAGTGCTTGGAGCACACATGCACAGCCGGACTCCTGCAAGCAGACTTCCTGCAGTAAAACTGGAAAACATCTGAACAGCTCTGGGATAACTGCTCATGTGTCTGGATGCAAACGTGTACTGAAGCATGAGAAGAAAAAAAAAATCCCTAACCTAGGTGAAAGCTTGTGGTTCTTTCAAGAAGGCAAAAATTCCTCTAAATGACCTGAGTGTTGGAGGCTCACAAAGTGACCTCTGTTCTCTCTAATCTAGTTTCCAAGACTGCAAACACGCAGCAGCTCTAATATCTAGACTGTTCGAAAGTCCTCCAACATGGCAGAAGGTAAAGAGCAGAGTAACGCTCCCTGAAGCAGTTGGTACATGTTTTATCTAGATCCACGTCCACCAGGCCTAGGTGACAAAGACATGTATGACGAGGCAAGGCGTGCAACTGGAATTGCAATCCTAATCCTCTGTGACTCGGCCTCACTCTGGGTTTATTTTGGGATTGAGTAATGCTGAGGAACAGTGAGTCTCTGTGTGTTGGTCGTTTAAAATCCTCATGATGAAGAGTTGGCTATGTTGGTACATCTGGGAGATTTAGCTCAGTCAGACACAAAATATTTAGACACAAAATAAACTTTATGGAGTTAATGGGCTACTTCAGTGACATCCCCTAGCTAAAAATTTAGTAAATTACAAAAATGCAATTGCTTGTCTTTGTTTTTACAATAAACTAAAGACAAAAGAATTCATACAGTTAAGACAACTGATATTACATGCATTTAATTCAAATTCAACACACCCTTAACATAATTCTTTACACGTGGAGAAAATAGTCCAAAAATATTAGAGATCATTGCCAATTGCAATGAGGGAAAACGACCCTGAGTGCACCGGGGGGTCCAGCAGGAGACATGGATCACAGGTTTAAACCTAAGGATAAAGTTGCTTACACAACATGGAAGTTGCAGAAGGAGGAAGCTATAAGTGAAGACCATCAGATTCCTGAGGAGGCAGCTGGTCAGAAACCAACAACTGACTGCATAAGACGTGCAACAGGACTTTGTGGCAGGAGCCACAGGGCTCCAGTTTCTACAGTAAGGGACATAATCTATAAGTGTCCTTTCTGAAAACAGCTTGGTGTTCTGGATGTTTTTGAACAGTGGTTCTCAATCCAGGTTGTCAAGTACCACTGTATGTTTTAGATTTCCATCTGCTGCAGTGCACCTGCCTCAAATGATTTCACAAACTCCTCACCAGCTATCAAGGTCTTTGACTGCATAAGCCTATTAATCATTCCTTCACATAAGTCAAGCATGTAGCAAAAAGGAGATGCCTAAAACTCGCAGGAAAGTGGTAGTTGAGCACCTCTGTTTCAGATGATCAAATGAAGTGTGTTTAACCCGAGCTCTGCCTTACTGAAGAGGTAATTCAGCAATTAATCCAGCAGCGTTGGAGCAGCATCCAAATATGCAGGGTGGTCAAGCAGCAGAGAGAAAACTTCAATGATAACTCTGGAGGAGCTGCAAAGACTCACAGCTCATTTGAGGGGGACACCTGTCAGTCGTGTACTCCACAAATCTGTTGGTAATGAAATAAAGGATGTAGGAAAGGCATGGAGGATAGGAGGATACTCTGGTCAGACGAGGAAAAATCCCCTAAAAGGGAAAATCCCCTAAAAGGTTTTAGTGAGCTGCATTCAAAATGCTTGTGCAGCAGGAAAACTGACACCGCATTTCCCAACGCCGATTTAAGCATCTCAGTCACCGAGACATGTACATCATGAGTGGATATGAAGGACAAAGGCACAACCAAAGCCAAATGTTTTTAAGTCGCTAAAGATTTTAATGAGTGGCATTACAGCTTCCAACTACCAAATATCTGCTCGTTATTAGAGACTGGTTGTGCATAGTAATGACTCAGAGCGCTGAATGCAATGCTAGCCACACTTGGCAAACCCGTACAACCTGTATATACAAAGCTGGGAAACCATCCACCACGTCTCCTACATGGTCTCTCCCAAAAAATACCACTTAAAACTCTCAACTTTGCGGTTGTAGAAGACAAAGGGCCGGATTTATCAAGATCCAATTTTGCGTGCAGTAATTTGCGCTCGCAAACTGGAATTTTGCGCGAGGGGCTGAACCATGGTTTGCGGGTGATTTAACAAGAGCGATTGCGTAACTGGTGGCAGGTGCAAAACTGTTGGAGACGCCCTATTTAAATGATGGTTTTGCGCGTTTGGTGGTTTGCGGCATGGCGAGTTTGGACAGCAGAAAGCGCAAAAGGAAATTCGACCCCATGGAAATGGAGGTATTGGTGGATGAGGCCAACAAACATTTAAGTGAACTACAGCAAAAAAGTGTGACTGTCACACAGAGGAACGCTATATGTGAAGAAATCTGTAATAAAGTAAACGCTGTTGGTGAAACCTTGCGAACAGTGGATGAAGTAAAAAGAAGATACCAGGATATTAGAAGGCGAACCAAAGAAAAACTGGCATATAACAAAACATCTGCGAACAAAACAGGAGGGGGCACAGTAGATGAGATGCCTCTGACCAGCATTGAGGAACAAGTACAGCTGACGCTCTGTGAGGAGCAAATCACTGGAATTGCAGCTTCAAAATGGCAATGCTGGATAAACGATATGTTTTGATGATCGTTTCCTCGTTCATTCCAAAAATATTCACACGGAGTGAAAAAATGCGTTCTCTGCGTCTCCTTGCTTCATTTCCATGTCTCCTTCTTGCGACAATAACCGCTGCCATGTGTGCGCAATTACGCATACAGACCATTTGCACCTTCTTTTGAAACGTGTTAAATATAGAGTCAGATACCGTTAGCAAAATTGCTTTCAGGTTTGATAAATCACTTTGCGAGTGCTAAATTAATATATTTACATGTTCTCCTCCCACAAGACGCACTTTTGCGTGTAAACGCCCCATATTGCATATTCATTGCAGAAAAAGTACTAAATGGATAAGAGGCGCTATTTAGCGCGTTTTAAAGACCAAATCCTTTTAGCACGCTGTTGATAGATCAGTTTGTACATTTTTTAGCGTGCGCAGTGAAATAGCTCACGTTTTAATACACGCAAACCTTTGATAGATCCGGCCCAAAGTGTGGAAAAATGTGTTACTCATACCAGTGCAGGAGATGAGGGTAGCTTAGACTAAGAGGTCTGGCTGTAATCTAACTACTCCTCTTGCAGTGGTAGCTGCTGACATTGGCCACAGGAATTATGATGACACCTCTGCTTCGCATCACTGCGACTTGGATGAAATCGGCTGGCTGGAGCATTCAGTACAGGGCAACAATGGCCTGAATCCACATTAATGACAAATCCAGTCTGACAGGCAACATTTCAGAGTAGCAGGGCTGTCTGCCTGGATCAGTGCAAGTCCTGTTGATAATTTGCTGAGATTTAGAAGGTTAAACCGTGGGACATTCAGGGACTTACAAAAGAAATATTTAGGGTTCCTGTTTTAATGTTCTTTAGGCTTTTCAGATGGGCTCCTCATGCCGTCATACCCCATTCCACTGGCTTAGCAGGGATTTAAAAAACACAATATTTACTGTTCTGCATTCAGACAGATTTCTGTTTGCACTCAGAAACAAGCAAGATGTTAACAATCTTCAAATCAGCCCAGCAGATGCTTATTTCTTTGTCCCAGAGTACCAGGGGAAGGACACAAATGCATGATTTACAGAAGGCGTGTGTACAATTCCAGCCACAACAATAGAAGCTGTTGACTTGCTCAAACAGGAAATCCTAAGCACAGGCGCTACCAACAGAGCAGCATTATGCTACCCAGAAAGGGCATCTAAAGGGGGTCGTATGCAGTGCAGATTATCCGTGAATGGATACTGTCAAAGCGTGAAGGGAGGGATTGTTTCAGCAAGGGCTGAAAGATACTGCAAGAGAAACAGAAATCACAATGTTTACATTTTCAGCAGCAAAACAACAATAAAATATGACAGCAAGAGATTAAGAATAAATCTGAGATTAAAGGAATTATTTAGCGGCGTAAAACTACATTTACTGTAAAGCTAAAAATCTGACTCACTCTTTAAAAAGAAAACACTCTAATCTGCAACTTAAAGAGAAGGGAGACGGAGACGTGTCTACACCGTTTTGATGTGAAATAACTGCTGGTAATGAAAGAGTTTCTGTTTTAGTTTAAATCTATTTTTAAATGTGTTCATCACACAAAACCATTGTTACGCTTCTTTAGCTAAAAATATATAAACCATCATGCATTTCTAATTTCTACAGCTCCATCCGTATTTTCACCTGTTCTCAATAATCTAAACAAGCAAAGCCTGCTTTGCAGAACGATGTGTTTCCATTAGATAGCATCATGTGACATGCAATGTGATGTGAGCATGCAAATGCTGGAATGTTGATGCAACTGTAATCTGTGCAGAGTGAAGGCTGATGTTATACTGTACCTGAAGCAAGAACTAATAATTATTCCAAACTGAAAACATCAGCTGAATGTTTTTTAAGGGAATCTTAAAAAAACACCTTTAAAATTTAGAATGATAATCAACTTTGATGGCCAACTTGTTTTACATAAACGAGGAATTTTAATTCGGTTTTCCGTCACTGACATCTTAATCACCAGTTTGAACAACAGCAAGAGTAGAAGGAATGCCTAAAGGGACAAAAAGGAAAAGATAAGACAGGAATAAAAGAAGCATCAACAAGTGTCCGTTTGTAGTTAATCTGTTCTTATAAAGAAGGAAGGCAAGTAGTAATAGTAAGGGATACGCAGGTTGTGACAGTTATGCTTTTGGTGATAAAATTGGATAAAGTTGATCATGATCTGTAGGTTAAAAAAAGAAATTTTCGCCCTATTCATGATATGCAAAATTAAGAAAACCCCCACCAGCAGCATAAACTTTCCTCCCTCTTACGAGTTAACTCAAAATCAGAAACCAGTTTCCAAATAAGTAAGGTGCTATTCCTTTATGCTTTGTTGGATTACAAACATGGAACTGCTGGAAAATGTGTATTTTTTAGTTCAGTTTAACTGATCAAAATAATCTTAATCTAAGTGAACCTAAAATACACTCAATTACCAAAAGCATTCACTTATGCATCCAAATCATGGTAATCTGATGTTCCCACCACTTCCATGAAAGTTTCTACAAACTCATGAAAGAATGCATCACTCTCAGTGGATCAGCGTTTTCCAGCATTGCATCGTGTTAAAATTCCACCTGAGCATATGGTCTAGTTGTAAACTGAAGGAGTGGGGAAAGAGGATGCTGAGCAAATGGTGTGCAGAGGTCACCAACTTCCTGCAGAGGCAACTATCATAGACCTCCAAACTACAACTCTACAGATTAGCTCAAGAACAACGTGAAGAAAGCCTTAATAAATGTGAATGTATTGTGTCAAGTGTTAATATTTTGGTGGAGGCCGGGGGGGGTGCGCTGTGGGGTCATTTTTTCGGAATCTGGGCTTGGACCATTAGTTCTCATTCTCCCTCTAACATAACTGGATCCATTTAAAGAACAGTCCTTACAGACGTGGATGAAAGAGATTTGGGTTGAGCTCGACTAGACTGCACAACAGGACATTTGGGATGAATAGTGTGGCAACTGAGAGCCAGGCCTTTTAGTGCAACTTCTGCCTATGAACTCACAAATGTGTGGCAAAGAATGGGCAGTATTTTCCCATGAACAAGCTCCTAAACATTATGGACAGCCTTCCTAGAACAGCTGAAGCCATCATGGCAGTAAATGAAGGGTCTGAACATATGGATTATGAACGGAATGTCACTTAGGTTCATATGCGAGTCAAGGCAGGTGAGTGAATTCATTTATCATATAGTGTAGGAAACTAATTTGATCCACAGAACATGCCTGAGTCCTTCAACCTATAACTGAAAAGGCAATGAAATATTCATCTAATTCAACTAATAGGTAACTCCACAGTCACCATAGTCTGGTCCAGGACAGGATGCTACAAAGTACATTAGTTGGGAATCTGTTAGTTGATTCTCACCCTATCTTTATTATTAAATCATGATCAGAAAAGGACTTATTTAATGATAAGGAGCTGCACACAGACAAGTGAAAGTACAGTAACATTATTAAATGCTGAGATACATAGCGTGGAATAAACAAATGTAAGTTGCTGAGAAATATTAAAAGAGTAGAGAAAAATAGTCAAACTTTTTGCAGAGAAAAACAACAATATGTGATGAAATTAAAGTGCGGAGATATTTGCATCATTTGAAACTGAGCCCTTTGATTTGAATACTTCTACACTGTTGGGGATAAAGCTGACTTCTTTGTCTTGTACATTTTGTATATTACTTCGAGATGACTACTATATTCAACTGCTGCTGCATAAAGAAATTGCATTGTGAGAAAATGTCCTGCTGTTGACCTCACCGGAACCAAAATCAAGTCCTTCTAAACCCTCTTCCCTATAAAAATCCACCTAAATCACACAGAGATTGCGTTCTGTGGTATTCTGTGTGCTCTCTGTGTTAGAGCAAAAAGGTCAACGTCTCACTAAAGCTCTATCAATCACACAGAACAGTTACGGATTATACAATGATTAAACATTGGTCAAATGTACAAGATTATGACATGATTTATTAGAATAATATTAAAATAAGATATATAATAAATTACGGCACTAATTGTAGTAGTTCTCAAACTTCTAACAAACAGACTGATTTAAGCAATTATCTTTGAAACCAATTAAAACCCCGATACTAGTGTAAAAATAAGGCCAGAGGCTCCCTGATCAGGATTTTCCTGGGAGATTTCCTACCATCTGATCTTTCTTTCTAAGGAACGACAGACACTAAATGTACTGTAAGTTTCCTGACAAGCTTAACATAAAAAGGGCAAACTAGGTTATATTTATGCATCAAAGCATCATCTCATTCTTTTAAAAAAGCCAAAAAAGTGTACACAATTACATGGTATTACCTGATTATTTCACAGACCCCAGATCATGCCATTTGGTGACTCTCAACCCATTCACTGAATATAAAATATTTTCCCCATCCATGGCCATTTAATGAAGGAATACAGACACAATTTCAAGTGAATGAAATTCCTGTTCTTGCTATTTTGACTGAAACAAATACAAGTCCTCACAGGCAGGGAGGAGTTGTTCCCTATGATAGACCACCAAAACACAACAGCTGATGTTGTGGTATCTTGTGTTGGGTTGAAAGGTGGAAAGGAGCAGTCATTATCACAGACACGCAGCAAGGCTTGTCCCACACTGTTAAACATTTCATCAGGGGGACTGCAACAAATCATGCTTCTAGATGCAAACCATTTGAAGATGAAATTGTTCCACACAGTTGGTTTCAGTTCATAAAGATGCTTTTTCTCATTTAATGTGGACATAAAAGGGACAAATGCAACACTAACCAGTCACTTCTTTTAACCAGATGGTATTATACACTAAATCTGACTGGTGTATATTATAAATAGGATCTATCTGTCATGTATTTATGGGAATCTCTGGGAGTTTTTAACCTTTGGAGTAACTTGATTAAATATTTCTGTACGTTGATTCCTCTTAATGGAAGTCTACATGATTCAACTCAAGAGTTTAAACTTATTTTGAATTTTTGAAAGACCTATTTACAGTTTTAGAACCAAGAGCTGTTTTATATATTTTTACCAAAAGGTTTAAAACACTATAAACTGTTAAATCAAAAAGTACATGGTGAAGTTTGATGTGACTTACATCAGTTCTGGTCTGTGGCGATGGATGATGGCACAAAACGCCAAACCGTCCCGAAAGGACGAAGACATGTCCCTGATTTCCACATTGCTGTAGTTTTCACATTGTATCCGACACCACTCCTGGAGAGCCTTCAGAGATCCCATCCTGTTACTGTCCAGGACTCATGCGCATCTGTATTCAAACCAAATGAAAATCGATGTCTTTTAGTCTCAAACGGCGTCAGGAGACAGGAAACCACCGCAGCGGCAGGAGGAGGAGCAGCGTGCTGCTGCAGAGGGTCGATCAACAGACAGCCAACCAGGCAGGCAACACCCGAACACAGACGAGAAAAGGCGGTGCATTCATCCACGTCCACCGTGTCACGTTAGAAACATGGCTCACAGTCGTAAAAGAAGTTAGCTAACTATTGCAAGTACAAAGAAAAAAATAAATTAATTAATTAAAAAATCCTTAGGTTCATTTCCTGTCTGAAACTATCGAGACACTTACAGCCATACGGTTACATGTAACCTCGAGTCTGTTGCTATAATGCCACCAAGTGATATTTAGAGCTGATAGAGGCACCTAAAAACAATTCTGAAATGCTATTTATCTCATAGCCGTATTTTCCAAAGGCTATGAGATGATAGTTTTCTCCTTGACGAAGACCACACCGCGGTTTTAACCACCGAGACTTTACCTTCAAACTCTCCTGAAAATCTTAAGTTTAAAAATAGAAATATATATATATTTAAAAAAAACTCTGCATGTGATATAACTCAAAAATAGCTAGCTTCTGTTTTATCTAAAATTTCCGTCGGCACACCTGCAACGTTTCTTCTTCTTTTAACTCATAATTGTTGTTCCTCCTTATGGCCATCTGGGGGAGTTGCACGACAAAAGACGCAAAACGTTACGTCAGCGAGTCTGCCATTTTATGAGTTCTTTATGTTTCTTTTGCCTACATCATACAAAATGAAACATAAACGGATACCACTGCTGCTACAGGTAATAATAACAAAAAAAATAAGATTAAATAAATGAGAGTATACGAATAAATTAAATGAGATAGATAGATAGATAGATAGATAGATAGATAGATAGATAGATAGATAGATAGATAGATAGATAGATAGATAGATAGATAGATAGATAGATAGATAGATAGATAGATAGATAGATAGATAGATAGATAGATAGATAGATAGATAGGTGTGAGTGTTGTCGGCTAAACTTGAACACAATGGAAATAAATTGATAGATTGATAAATAAGAAAAAGACGATATTTTTAATACGATAAATCTTGAATGTTATCATGATCCTTACATTAGTAATTTCCCCTAAAACTATTCTCAAATACTACTACTTTATTGTTGGCTTTGCTGCCCTTTAAAAATAAACCATGACTCCTTCTTTATAATGAACCATACATATCCTTCTTATTAAGCGCTATATCGATAAATACAAGTCCAATAATATTTGACGAAAGACGTGAATTGGTATTATCACCTCTTTGCTCTATCGAAAACGAAATGTATTATACAATTTAATGTCGTGTAATTTATTTTATTTTTTTTTGTTTTTTCTTTTTTTTTTCTTTTTTGTGTGACGTTCTTTTTGGATAAAATTGGAAAATGATGGATCAAAATAAATAAAACAAAAATAAAAGGAACACTATCCCCGCCCCAGCAACGTTACAGAAGTCTCGCGATAGTAGGCAGACGTTAGTAATCTGGTAAAGATGGCGGCGGCCCCCCCCGATGAGACCAGCCTCCAGTCTCTAATCAGTAAGTCATCATATTTCACTTAAACTACTCAAGTTTATAAGAGCCGATGCGGTAATTTAAAGTGATACTCATGTTGAAAGTGTTTTTATTTTTGGTTGTCACTGACAGCCTCCTCTATGAGCTAAAATGAGTTGTTGTTCCTGTCAAAATCATCAAAATAGCAAAGTGCCTTTGGTGTCAAGAAGAAATAACAGCCAGAAACTGTAATACTTTAAACTGGACACTGAGTCATCTTTATCCCGTTTTCAGGAAATGTAAATACACTGTAAGCGTCCAGTTGATGCTAACTAGATCCAGAAGCTAACTTCCCAAACGACTAGTTTAACTACAGGAACCTCTGCCACCAGCAAGTTTCCTGATTTCACAATCTGCAAAAAGAAAAACAAAAAAACAAACAAAAACATTAGCTCATGTTTGGCGCTCTAAAAACATAACATATTTTGATGAAACGGTCAGGAACGTTTGTTTTCTTTCATGCTGATCCAGCATTTTTTATTTAATGTGTTTTTTTTTTACACCCAGATAAGGCCACCAATCCTCTGAATAAGGAAACTGACTGGGACAACATTAAGGGATTCTGTGATAAACTCGACAGTGAACCTGATGGGTAAGATATTAAATGAAAATAATGGATGTAGTCCTGCACTTCTTTCTTCTCTTTAAGAGATTTTTTTATTATTTCTGTTCTTTCTGCCTGTTAAATGTTTATTAGATTCATTAAAAGAAAACTGCAAAAAAAAAAAAAAAAAATGTAAAAGACTAAGACGAGACTCCTAAAACCTATTCACTAGCTTTGCCACCCATTGCTGCTATTAGTAATTACTGTTTCCATTATAGGCAATATCTCCTTGAAATTAATGTGAAAACATGTTGTCCCTATCCTATTTGAAGTAATGTTTTAATTCACCATTAAATAACAGTTTATTTAATAATACACTGTTTTATACACAGCATCCACTCTAAGGTGGGCTTTGGCTCATTAGTTCTGACTCCTGCTATACAGGTGTGCCTCAGTTTAATGTCGTAAACATTTTCCTTCATGGTTCTCTGGAAGTGAACCGAATCCAGGTCAATTGACAAAATAATTCTGGCCCCGAAGAAACAGAACAGTCCCAGACTACTTGCCCTCTTTGACTGCAGGTGTCATGTTCTTTTTCTAAAATGTTCCTGCTGGTTTTACAAAAATAAATAAATAAATGAAATTACACACTCCTACCAAAAAGTTAAACTATTGTTTTACTAAGTAATTTTTTGGGGGAAATAGGTGATGGGTCCCCATGTTCATTTTTTTCTCAGCAGATATTTTTGGCCTTGGGACTCTCCTATTCCTGCCCAGCCTCTTTCTTATTGATGAATCATGAACACGGCGTGGTGGCATAGGGGGGTTTGTAGTGCTGGATGTTGTTCCCTGTTCTTTGTGACATCTTGGATGAGTGCATTCTTAGGCATACTATTTAATAACCCAGTAAATCATGTGAAGGTTATTCATTTTTTAGTGTTTTATTTATCTGTGTGTTTTGGCTCTCTGCAGGTATCTGGAGTCCCAAAGTTTAAAAAATGTCTTTATGAAGTATTTTAGGCAGCAGTTTGATGTCAGACAGATTGTATCGAACACTAATTATTTTTTATTGTAAGGGTCAGGCCTTGATGGCAACAGGTTCCTGGTTTAATTAAATCCCAAAACAGCAGCTTATTATTTAGGATTAAATGTGTGAGACAATTATGTATCCACATATGGCCCGGTTATTGTGGATATTCTTCTATTGAGGAAAATCCTCATTGGATAGTGGACATTTTCCTTTGTCTGCATTCCGCTTTAAACAGACTAGAATTTCCTTCCCCCTTTGATCTGGACCTTTTTTACAACGGGGAATACTTTTAAGTAATCTTTGATCCAGACTAAGACCTGCTTTTCAAGGTCGTCTCAGGCGGCTTGCAAACGGATTCTGGTACTCAGTTCTGTTTAGAATGGAAACTGGGCTAGGTTTAAACTAACTACAGAGACCATACTTTTCTTTGGACTTAGTAAGCCTCCGTTATGAGGAACATAGCGTCAAAATGACACCTGACCTATCGGGTTGCTTGGCAACACTGCTGCCAGCATGTGGATCTCTTTGCTCTGTCTGCTGTTGTCATTTTTGTCCAGTAGGAACAACTATGGCACTTGTGGCTTTTTTAATGAGTTTTAGTCTTTGTACTTGTATAAAGAACAGTGAGAATATAAATCACTATCACCTAATGAAGAAACAGCTTTTGGTCCTAATCAAACAGGCAGACCAAAAGTTTCAATACACCACCCTTATTTTAAAATTTGTTGACTGCAAGTCCAATTTCTCTTACAGCTTTTCAGTTTTTGGCTAAAAGAAAAAATAGCACAAAACGTCTGGCTGTTTGGAAGCTAAATGTAACCCTTCTCACTTTACATTAAATAATTTTTTGATTAAAAGAAAGTAGTCGTATTGTTCAAGTCTCTTTTGGTTAAACTATTTTTTTCTTATGGTATTGCATGTCTTTGCGGTGATTACATAACTAAAATGTGTTTTTGTTTGTTTTTTTTTATTGAAAAAAACTTTTTTCCATTTTAGATTTAAGGAGCAGCATCAATGTTTTATATCACATAAGATTTTGCTCCTACAAATATCATTTTTATTATTATCAGGCCTCAGCTTGCAACCAGACTTCTGGCCCACAAAATCCAGTCTCCTCAAGAATGGGAGGCGATGCAGGCACTACTGGTAAGAAATTAATTAACCAGAACCACTGTTTTGTAGTAAAATTGTCTTTAATTAAAAATATTGAAAAACAAATGTTTGTGTGTATAAAATAAAAAAGAGAGAGAGAGAGGGGATATTTTGATTAAAAAAAACTCCAAATGTTGATCATTTCCCAGGTTCTTGAGACATGTATGAAGAACTGTGGAAACAGGTTTCATGGTGAGGTGGGAAAGTTTCGCTTTCTTAATGAGCTCATCAAGGTGGTCTCACCGAAGGTAAAACATTTCTCTCTTGTCACACTAGTTCTGTAGCAACTTAATACGCATGTTATTGTTTCCTTTCTTTTTAAGCTGAAATGAAAAAATGGAAGCTTTAGTCATCCAATATCCTGTAGATCAGACCTTTAATACATGCAGCTTCGATGATTTTTTTTTTTTAAGACATCCAGCTAAAAACAATATTTACCATCTCCGGTCTAAATTCTTCTGGATTTATAAACCACAGAAAGCCAACAGCTCTTTGTTTTCGTAACAGGGTTCCCATTAGGGCTGCAACTGACGATTATTTTGCAAATTGATAAATCTGTTGATTATTTTTTTCAATTATTCGGGATAGCGAAAGGTTCCTTAAAGAGGACTGTTTATGAAATTAAACCAGGTAATAAAATCAAACTTTTCCACTTGAGGAGTTCTGGATAGAGCATACTGACAGAGATTTTTATTTATTTTTTTTAATCAGCTACAGGCATGTCTTAGAGTCTCTATACTCTAGTTTATTATTAATCGATTACTAAATTAGTTGATAATTATTTCAATTATCAATTAATCCCATTAATTGTTTCAGCTCTAGCTCCCATACAGTCATCTCTGAAGCTGAAGCTCAGAGGTGATGGGCTTTTATTGTGGAACAGGTTACAGCTGCATGTTAAGCAGGCGCCTTCGCTGGCTTTTTAAAATCATATCTAAAGACTTCCCTTTTAAATCAAATTGAGTTGTTTATTTTTGCCCTGAGAATCAGCTGTGTACCTTGTTTTTATCTGTTATTAATTTTATTGTTTTTATTGTTTCTGACTTATATCTACTGCACTTTGGTCAACAATCTGTTTTTAAACGTGCTTTATTGATAAATTGATTGGATTGATGTAAGAACATTAAAACACAACACTAATTGGGTGAGCAGATTTATTCTTAG